ATTCTACAAAAATTTCTTTGATTTTTCGTCAGTGATGAACGACTAAGGCTTTGGCAGAGAAGCTCTTCTCCTGTAGCGGACTTCAAATCCTCGCGGATTTGGCGGGAGCGTCGAGCACCTCGGCGCGTTCAAACGGCTCGCGTTCGGCCGCACATGGTCCGATTTTGTTGCGGTTTGTTTCGTTGAACTCAAAATATCCTAAGGAAGATTTTGAGCCCAAGTTTTTTTAAAATTGGTCCATTTTTATGGATTTTAGAGAGGGGGGATACTTACTTATTGAACGCCCCTCGTACAAATGACATTATGTATTCAGTTTTTTACGTTCTTCCCAAAAATGAACACGGTTTTAAGTTTAAATTAGGTTTTGTACATTCAAAATTGGAAAAAATCCTAAAAATGAGCTGTCAATGGTATCAAAGGATCAGGAGATCCTCTGAACTCAGTGAAGGCTCATTTAAATGCCAAAAATGGAAAACACGCAAAAAATGCATAGAGCTCATCACTTGAAAGAGTGATAACAGTCGAAAAAGTGCGGCCGAAAATAATTATCTTATCTTCAATTTCAGGATTTTGGGTTCGAGGCACTGCTTGTGCGGGCTCCACACGGTGGAATATTTAGCAAAAAGTCTACCTAAGGTCAGTATACTTTGAAACTATGAACCATTTGGTAAAATCCAGGTGGGGCTGGACCACCGGAAAGGGTCCTTAATGCCACTCTTACTTTTTATTTGGTGAAAAATCACGACCGAAGATGATAGAGCCCTTTTCACTTTCGTAGACGAAATCATTCGATCACAAAAAATGCCGAAAGTCTGAAAAATATAATACAAATTATTATGTCTAGGAGCACTTAAATGCTCCGGTCAAAGGATTTTTCATGCATTTTTGAAGAAACACTAAAATTGTTATTTCCTTGAAAAATATCTGAAAGTTTTGCTGGTTTTACATTATAGGTACAGAAGTTTTGGAGGAAAAGAGGCAATTATGAGTGGAGCCATTGTTTGGAGGAAAACTTTCGGTCACATTATTTTAATAAAATTCCAGTAAAAATAATTTCACGACTTTTCAAAAAAAATATTTCAAACTTGAATTTTCTGATTGTTTATCTGGGACACTTAAATTTTCATTCGTTCCTTTGATTTTCCCCTAAAACCATTGTTCTCCACGTCCGAGTGCTTTATTATGAAGATCTATTAAAAAGAGCTTTTACTGTCTTCGCGCGCGCGCTCAGACATGCTGGTAGGGCCGTATACAATCACTCAATGTGACGCGCGGATGCATGACAGAAAGACCTTCACCTTTCAGCGCAGCTTCCACCAACTTTGGACCAATTCTTTCGCGATTAAGCAACGAATAATTTTTTTTCCGCTAGCTGAAGAAGCTTTTGGGGGAAGTCTCGGCGATATAAATATGAGCTTCAGCGTTTCCTTCATCATAAGTTTCTCAGTCGCTGAACTAGTAACTTTACCTCCGCTCTTACAATCAACCACTAAAATCATCACCATGTTCAAGTTGGTGAGTTTAGTCATCTCTGCTTTTTTGAAGTGTTAAAATATTTTCTCCAGTTAAAAGTTGTGTGGGCGGTGATTTAAACGAACCATTCAATTTACCACTCAAAGTGCATCCAATTATTTAAAAGTGTTTCTTCCTATAAATTTTAAAAAATATCAACTTCTCACGTTGCAAGTGATTTCATAATCAGGTTCTTTCCGTGTTTTTTTATGACGAAAGGAGCTACGTCTCCTTTGATCAGCAAAACTTTGAACGTGGAACTTCCGTTCTTTCAGCTCTCATCCGTCCCATCTGGATATTGATGAAACATAATTTAAAGACAAAAAATTCCTCTCAACTTTTAAAGGCTCTTTTAACAGTTTACCTTGATGTCATTCAATATTCTAAAATGCAGACTCTCGAAAAAAAGGAAAAAAAGTCGAAATCCAAAAGTGCGAATGATTTTTTTTTTTTTGCCTAAATGAAGGGAATTCACGATCCACCCCACAGTAACATAACATCCGCTATTTCAGTGCAGTTTTATGCTCTGCGACACTCAGTCGCCTTTGCCCTCTATCCTCCCTGTGATCATCAGGCAATTGACACCTCCTGATCCTCCTCCACTCCTTGTCACCGATATCCTCGATCCTAAATATGCTTTTCTTAAAAAATCGTGAAAAATGTACCATCACCTTTAAAAAAATTCAAGGTTAATTTTTCGATCTTTTTTTCCAGATCGTCGCTTTGTTCGCCATGGTCGCCACCGCGTCCGCCGGAGGCTACGGAGGCTACGGAGGTTACTCTGGCTACGGAGGTAGTTACGGAGGTAGTTACGGAGGTCTTGGCTACTCCGGCTACGGAGGCCTGGGCTACTCTGGCTACGGAGGACTCGGCTACTCAGGCTATGGAGGTTACGGAGGTTACGGAAGCTACGGTGGAATCGGACACGCCGCCGTTGTGCCATACTCCGGGTACGGTGGATACCGTAGCGGTTACTCAGGTATTGGTGGATTTGGTGGATTTGGACACGGATACTCCTCCTACCCGTCTTACGGTGGCTACGCTGGATACGGTGGATTCGGTCACGGTTACTCTGGATACGGTGCCCACGGACTCCTCAAGAAATGTAAGTTTGCTTTCCTCGATTGAGCAAATTAAATCATTATATCGATGGATGAAGTCGAAAAACGCGTATCTCTTTACCATCGTTTTAAAATCTCTAATTTTAATTTATACTTTGGAAATAGGGTCAATCAAGATATCTTCTTGAAATTTACTATCGGTACTTTTGATTAGAGGAGAGAAATTCACGGTAAATTTCAAGGGAAAATGTTGGTTATTTTTCCATAAAATTATAGAAATATAACAAACTTGAATCGGCAACTTGCAGTGTTGCAATCAGAGATGTGCGTTTCTTGGCTTTACCCATTGATATATCCCATATTTAGGAAAAACACCGTCAGAATTTTTGAATGGTTCTAAATTTCCTCCAGTGAAATTATCAATGAGAGAATTTAAGTATAATTTTCCTTCAAATAGATAGATATTCCTTGAAAAATATTCGATTCACTGGGGGAAAAAAACACATTGGATCTAGAGTCCAGACTCTTGAAAACATTGAAAAGAAAAAATACTCTTGATTCAATTGGATTTTTGCTTGAATCAAAACAAAATCCGCTTAAATTAAGAGGCTTGGTTCTTAATTTAAGCTAGTTTCTGATTGAATCAAGAGTGCTTTTTCTTGTCGATGTTTTTAAGAGTCTGGACTCTAGATCCAATGTGTTTTTTCCAGTGTTCAATTAACGAAAATACCTTGATTTCCTAAGATTACCTAAAATTTACCTAGATTCCTAAGATTTACCGAAAATTTCCTTGAAATTTGCTTGTTACACTGAGATCAATACATGTTACGTCCAGTATAAGATTCATAACGTTGCAGCAAATGATTGGACTGCGTTTAACAGAAAGCAACCAAGCTCATCAGTTATTGCCAAATTTAACTGAGCAATTTAATTTTTTACGAGAGAACGATTGTGCAATATTTTATTATTCCAAGGAATTTGCTGCGTACTATGCAGAAAAATCACTGAACTTTGCAAATAAACATCCGCACAACTGTTTTCATCAAAAAAAATAAAATTGCACAGTTGAAATTGGCTTGGTTCCTTTATGCTTCACGCGGTCCAATTGTGACTGTAAAATTTTCTACGTTACGATTAGGTTTGAAAATGCCACATTTGAAAAAAATTCATCAGGATGACATGCAACCAAAACTTTGCTGAGGTAATTCATCGGTCTCTCAATAAAACAAGTGTGCCCCAATGCGCAGCAAAAAATGCTGGAAACTTGCTTTTCTGAGAATATCTCTTTTACTTGCTTAAGTGAAGAATAAAAATCATAGTTCACCTGCATGCAAATTTGACGTGAGCTATCATTTTCCTTTGCATCTAATTTGATAGTACCTGCAGCTCGATTGTTGAATCAATATCGAACGATCTTGATCGATAAAAATCATTGCTAAGATAGGGATTTATCCATCGAGTTCATTCGATAATTGAACAATCGACCCGCTGGATCGATATATATCATTGCTAAGATGGGGATTTATGGATCGGGTTCATTCGATAACGATTCAACAATCAACCCGCTGATTGTTTTCACTCAGACTCCCGTATTTTTACACGCCTCTTAAAAATAAGAATATTCATCATAAAATACATGTAATGTTTAAGAAATGCACGTCGTATTCAGAAAGAGAGGGAAAATTATGAAAATTTCAGGGGAAAGAACAGCCGAGTAACCTGTAGAAATACGCGTGTTTATCAAAGAAATGTAAATACAGCAAGTTTTTATTTATTTTTTTTTTTTTTTTTCATATCAAAATTGTTGTATTAATTTTGGTTTTTGTTTCTTTCCTTTTGTTTCAGAAATTATCTCGTCTCTCCTAAAGTTCCTGTGATAAGTTACCAGCTCAAAATTCTTAGGTTCTGCTCGTTCACTGCCAGCCTTTTAAGTGCAATAAATTATTAGTAAATTGTTATGTATTTTTTCACTCCATAAATATTTTGTTGTTCGCATTTTGTTCCGAAATGTTACGAATTTAAACAAAATAAAATAAGTTAATTCCTTCTGTTGAATCAAGCATTATCATTTTATCCAATTTTAAATCATTCTTATCAAAATGTAGAATTTATAATCAGAGAAAATTTATCTAATGATGAATACAGGGAACCAAGTTTTGGTAGAATCACAGCGCACATCATTTCTGGAAGAACATATCATTTCGTTTGGAGCATCTCCTTGTGAATAGGTTTTAAGGTAATGAAACTTAAATATTAGGAGCGAACAACGCCAGTTTCAACCCTCTATTGCATAGCGTTGCATGAAAGCAACAAATGGTTTTCAGTTTTATTTTTATGCTGGAGTATTAAATTGAATCAAAGCAAAGAAGGTTTTTAAGGGAGCATTATAAGTCTGATCTCCTAATTTTAAAAAAAAAACTACAAAGATCGATTCCAACTGACTCTATTGTCGAAAAAATACTGTATAATGTAGATTTTCTGTCCAAAATCAACGATCAGCTCATGCAACAAAGGGATAAGATCTTAAGCAACAACGAATGTGCAGTGAAGAGTTTTCCGTCAAATTGCCATCACGACCCAGTATTTAAATGCGAATTTCAGGAAAAATCCAAAACTCCTGAGAAAATTAAAGTAAAAAAGATACGTTTTGTTTCTCTTTCGAATGATTACCTCAAGTAAATTCGTCGTATACTAATGATTCTAACAGTAATTACACTGATAATCACGCTAGTTTGCAGTAGATTTCGTGTAAATGTCTCCCACAGTATGTCTTAGATATTCGTACATTGGATCACTTAAAATGTTCTCGTGCCAAAACCTCGCCTTGTGCACAGTAACTATACGTTAATTGTGCCTTTTTTAAATATGTTATCTTAGTTTTATCCTTCTCGTAATGTGCATCTTTGTTAGTACGAATTCTTCAGGAGAAAACATTGAGCGGGAATTCTCAATAAAAAACTTCTCTACTGATTCATTGCAATTGATGCACTTGTGGCATTTTATACGTTATTATACTACTCAGTCGACGAAAAGGATTTTGTCTTGGGTAATACGAGACGTTATGCAAAATTCATTGGAGGTTAATTTTGTGTTTGAATTTTAAAAACGAAAAAAAAAATGTACCAGAACAAATGAATTTTACTATTCTAAGCGTTGATTGTTATACAAGTTTCTTTTAACTTCAATTGATCAAAACGTTTTTCATTCATAACGTTTCAATATGGTGAAATGCATTATTCCATGAAGGGCAGGGAAGTACTAGAGAACATGCCCTCTGGTGCCCTGCCCTTGCCGCTATGCAGCCTCCCTTCCAAAGAATGCCTCGCATCCTCAAACAGCCCTTAAACATGAGTATCTGAAAAATTCAAAGAGAGTCGGCTCTAATGGAGGTTGTAGCCTGATGATAACCACGATAATAATAAAAATCGGTCCAGTAGATCTCTAAAATGTATCAAGACATAAAAATTAAAATTTGGGGGGTTGGAGATAGCTTATGGTGTGTATGAATACAATATTTAGAGGGAAATGTTCATGCACGCGTAAAAGTCGCTTTCACAGTGCTCTCTGGGCACTCCACGATGCCCGACCGCTACTTTGCCGTGCTAAGAAAGAACGTCGTATGAACATTCGAGAGTTACCAAATTTCTTTTCATAAAATTTTTATTATTGAGGAAAATTTTGAATATTTTTTCTTGAGATTTTCAGAAGTTTTAGATTAAACTAAAAAAAAAAAATTATCTGAAAAATCGATAGACAAATATCCAAAAACTCCTTATAGTTACTAGGCATTCGAAAAATAGACATCACATTACTTTCTCACAATATATCTCACAATATTTGTATCCTGAACGATTGACTCATTAATAGTAAATGCCAAATCAAGGATCCATTGAGGTTTCTATTTTCAAGATTCTTCCCTCCACAATCCTCAATGAGAAAGATTTTTTTTTTTTTTTTTTTTTTTTTTTTTTTTTTTTTTTTTTTTTTTTGTAGTTTTTCCGGGAGAAAAAGTGGCGAATCTTTGCGAAGATATGACAATTTAAGCAACTTACTTCACCGGCTGTGGTAAACCAAAGTCGGGGATTTCGATTTCCATCCGTTTCGCACTACTACCCCAACATGGGGTAGGTTTCGGCCAGATGGTCCTCTAGTTGGTTAAACTATCATATGTTGGTTTGGCTCTCAATTTAAGTAGAATGCTTTGATCAGAAGCTGGCTAAGGAGAAGATTGAAGGGCTACATTTTTCCATAATTATCAAAATTTTCCTTACGACTGTTTTTCTTTTTCAATTATGGAATATTACCGCTCATTATTTGTAGCGCGCTTGCTCCTGAGACCGTCAACAAGTCTCATTTTTTCACCTGTCTCAACCTCATTAGCATCCAAACAATCTCGATAAACATTGGATTATGAGTATCAAAACAAATAAAGCCTTTGAGAGTCCCGTCAGACCAGTGGCGAGGCTTAAGAATCGACTATCGATATTTTTCAATTTGACACCATGGTTAAGAATCGATTATTAAGGTGTTCGTTGCGAGCTTTCCGATAATCAAGCCCTATCCATTGGTTTGAATGACAGAACAATCGATTTATCGAAAAGCACGCCGCGTCACTACGTCAGACGACTTCCGCCAATCACGAACCACAAAATATGCATGTTGCCACAACGATTTGTTCTTTCAAAAACAGAGAAATTTAGAGAGTGACCTCATCATTACCATAGTCTCAAATGGGGAAACATCGCTAATCGATCATTCACGCACTTCGCCACTAATTTGGACCAAGTTTGATAGAAACGCATCATGTTGCATTTTAAGGCAAAATGAATCAGAAGTGGTTTTGGATTGACCTAGTTGCAAATTGCAATTGATTTTTTGTTCTCTTTTCTTTTTACGATATAAAAAAAAAGGAATTGCGAGCATTTAAATACATGACAATTAAAATACAAGTAGGTACACGGAAAAAAGTGTGAGGGGGTATTCCTTAAAACTGTGGTTTTCCCGAATTTGTTGGATGATATGGACATTTCCAATTAATTGTAGTAGTACTGCGAATCAAGTTAGGATAGTACCGCAACCTTTCGGTTAGTAACTTATTTTATTGGGGCACTACCACAATGAATCGGAAATGATCTTACTATCTAACAAGCCCGTACTCTTTTTCCCAGGAACACTAGATTTTTTTATTTCAATTTTTTTATGTATACGATTGATGTGTGATTTATATGCAAAAATCACAGCTCATATTCCAAATCGAACGATTAGACAGTTTTGTGATGTTTAATATTGAAAATGTATATTTTCGCCCTGACTTTAACAGAGTTCTCTCAGATAATAATTCTATTCCATGATTTATTATCTTTAGCAATTCTTTTTTATCATCCATGCTACATCTGGTCTCAAAAACTGCGATGGTCAGTAATGATCTTATGTAAGTTGGTAATATGGTTTGGCTATAAGTTGGCAACAATGTTTTTCCTCCCCCTCATTTAATCGCCTCCATGTGACGCAGGTACTGTCTGGAATAATATCAATTGTTTTGCATTCGTCTGCTGCATCCACGAAAATTTAAGTGTTTGTTTTTTATCTTACGTGGGAAGAACTTACACTTTTTACACGGCATCCCTCTTAAAAACCAGTTTTCTCAAGATTCGCAATGAAAAATATGTGTTTGTAATACCAGTAATGAACAATGTTGTGCCACTCTGGCATTAAGTTTCTCACTGCTGATAGCAGTGTTGATAGTTAGTCTAATATTATGTGATAAAAGAACAAATTTATGCCAGGAGATACTATGTGCGCAAAGAAATTCAATAAAAAAGAACCGTACGATTCAAAAATCCTACATGCATTTAAATCCCCCATAGTCCAAATAAATAGAAAATTCTGTTCGAAACTATGATAAGCAGTCATCATCGGCATTGCTTGTTAGAAAGCTGAATCCCAGAAATAGCACTCTTAGTTTTCTTAGAGCTTATTTAATTATATTTCAAACTTTTCTCAATTTTTCAAGAATGCAACTAAAAGATATGTCTTGTGCAAATGAAGTGCATGTGAGGACGACTCATCCAAAAGAGAAGCTCTTCAATTTTTGTAAGAAAAAAACCGGAAAAGCTGCATTTGTACTATACATTCTTTCTTATGAGAACAGCACAGCCTTATTCTATACATTCCAGTTTTTTTCATGACGCAGTGTCGTAGCTGCCTGCAGGTGTGTGCTGTTTTTTGAAACTCTAATCAAAATTTCATAGTTTTTGCAAAAAACGTCACTTTGCCAATACTTTACTATCCTGCAAGAGAAACTCTTGTGAATCGCAAGCTCTTGGATTTGCGTCCTTAAATGAATATAAAATACTTCTCAAACTAACTACCTCACCAAGGATTGATTATGTATAATGGTTTTAATGCCATACCTCGACGATCAAAGTAAACGCTTATTGCACTAGGGTATATTATAAAATCTGACCAATCTTGTCGCAGAAATTTCTCTCAATTGCCTCATTTTGAGCTTATTTCCGAAGAGCAGTGCTTTGATAAAGAACTTTTCCAAGAATCGCCATACTGCATATACAATTTAGTGTATGGATTCATGATGAGCTTTCTGCCCGAGCAATTGATGCGTGAATTTTAAATGGGTCATTGACTCAATTACTTTTCAAATAATTTTGACTAATCAAAATATTTGCAAAAGTGAGGTCTGACCTAAAAATTACATTTACCTGCAGCTTCTTTCGTAAACATTAAAAAACGACTCTCTTTTTGACCGTCTATGAGAAAAAAAACCTTCATACACAAAAGTAAAACTTTCAAGAGAGGTATTTTTGTCAACGCAAGTAGAAAAATCGGATTTTGAGAATTTAACAGATGCCTCTGTTGTTTTGAAGAATATGTCATGGAAGAATCCTATTTCAATTTTGTGCTAAAAGAGGATGTAACAATGAAGTATTAACTTGAATTTTATACGATCAAAATGGCACATTACATTTTAAGGAATGCAGTTTTCTCTGAGGTATCAGCCATGGATTTTTAAAAATCCATGCATACCGCGGAAACCTTAAAAAAACAGAATTTTTTAAAAATGACTTCCAAAATCAAACTTTCAATTTAGATTTTAAGTAGGTGTGTTTTCCTCAAAACAATGTTTCTTGAAGTGGAAATGTCAATGGCGATAACTTTAATTTTAATCACTTTAATATTTCAGTGTGTTTTTGACGAAATGTTCTCTAAACCTTGAAATGCGATTATTGCCAAATAACTCTTTTTTGAGTTCTTAAGTACTGAGGTTTTTTATCTCATCAACGGTCAAATTAAAGAAGAAGAATTATAAAAATTTTCGGGCTCTATGTGAACTTGAAGTTCCAAATAAGGTTATAAAAATGGAGAAAAAACGATTTTGGGTGTGAAGTATGGATTTTTATTGTACATAAACTACATAGTAGTCGCAGATTGGAACTAAAATTTACACGTAAATTTTAAGAAATTTCATTACAAATATGGATTTAAATTGGTAAGTTGACATGGCAGTCGGTCAAACCACACACAGAGCATGATTGTTGTACGGTTATGGTATCACAGGAACTTTTGAAAACGGGTCAATTTCTGGAAACAGAATATAAAGACGCATTATTAACCAATGTCGAATTTTTGGAAAGAACGAACAACTGAAAAATTGAAGAGGAGGAACAGTAGGAAGTAAAACTTATATCTTGAGAGGTATCATCCTTTTGCTTGGTTATTGGAAATTATGTGGGACACAGAAAATAGTTTTTTTTTTCTTCTTAAAAATAGCCGAAGGGCTCTCACTTAATTAGGATCTACATTGGTATATTATAGCACCCCATCTTCCCAGGTAAAACTTTAAGAAAAATTGTTGGTTCCTATTTAGGTTCGTTTTTTAAAGAGTCACCAATATATAACTTCCTAACTAAATATCTGAGAGGAATTCGAGTATCAGGAGACAGACTTAGGATGAGGAACGATCAATGGGCCTGTTGCATGCAAGAGATACAGCCGTGCGAATAGACTTTATAGTGGTTAAATGACACGAAAATTACGATGCTCACATTAAAAAAGTCTGAAATAGACTCCTTACTGCGCAATTTGCGTTGTCAGGAACGCGCTTTTTCAAATTTCCCGCGTCTGGGGGCAGTTTTCTAATGGAAACAATTAACGGCAACTCGCGGCTATTTCCGGTCAACTAAAACTGACAACATAACCTAAAAATCGGAGCTCGTGATATCGTGAAATGAAATGTAGAAGGATTGCGTTGGATATTTAAAAGTTGATCGATTTAGTTACTGCGTAAAGTGTATATGGACCACTATAAGAGATCACGTTGGGTTTGTAAACAAACTGAAGGAAAAAATAACAACAACAACAACAACGACTCGACATCTTCCGGAAATCACCGAGCCTGCCGTTTGCTAGTTTCCGGTGATTAGAAAAGTGCCCCCAGACGCGGTAAATTTGAAAAAGCGCGTTCTTAACAACGCAAATTGCGCAGTAAGGAGTGTATTTCAGACTTTTTTAATGTGACCATCGTAATTTTCGTGTCATTTAACCTCTATATAGTCTATTCGCGCGGCTGTATCTCTTGCATGCAGCAGGCCCATTATGAGAATTGCACATTTTTTAAGAGACAAGACGTTTGAGCTCGAGAAACCGAAGGAAATGTGCTTTCGAATGTTATGTAGCTCAAAGGGAGTCAGGATTCCATCAAATTTGCGTTAAAAGGATCGTGCAAACAAGAAACAGAAAAATTGCGTTATTCAATTTCTTGAATCAACCCCTTCTCTCACTCAGCAGTGGCACTTCTCGTGAGTTAACGACACTATTTGGACCAAATTATACAATTGAGAAGTACAATTTCTGGCTGATTTTAGAAACAACGTATATATGTCATTAGTTGTCCTATGCAGATATGTGCTTTCGTGAATGAGCCAGAAATTGTAGTTTTTAATTGTAAAATGTTGTCCATTTCTCTTGAGTGTAAATCCATCATACATGATCAATTCAGTGTGAAGAAAAGTGGCGAGGCGTGAATGATCGATTATCGATATTTCCACCCTTTGAAGCCATGGTAAAGAATCGATTATCAAGGTGCTCGTTGCGAACGCCCTGTTTATTGATCCTTTTCCATAGGTTTATATGACAGATCAATCGATATATCACAAAGCACGCCACGCAACTAGTGAATAGTCTGCTTCGATAAATATCGATTGTTTAACATGCATTTAAATAGAAACAAACTCAGAGTTGTCAAATTGCAAGCGTCGCCTCTGTGCTTCGCAAAAATTAATGACGTCATTTGATCTCAGTCTATTGCCTCATTTAAGAATATTTGACCAAAAAATAGTATAGCATTAACGCTTTCCTTCGTAAAATAAAAATACGCTCGACTCCATAATCTACACCCTAGCAGATACCGTGGATGGTGTCCGCACTTGGGCACAGCCGGCGACTGTCCTCAGCACATTCTTTCTGCACTAGGAGACATGTTTTTCTACACTCCAGCACAACCATGCGGACAAAGGAGCTTAGTTGGTCTATTTTATTTTTTTTTTCGTGAAAAAACGGAAACAGCGAAACTTACACTTCTTGAGGAGTCCGTAGGATCCGTAGCCTCCGTAAATGGAGGAGTAGGGGTAGGCACCGGCGGCAGGGTATCCGTAGCCAGCGTAGGGGTAGCCTCCGTAAGCTCCGTAAGCACCACGAGCGTATCCGTATCCGTAACCAGCGTATGAAGCGGCGGGGTATCCGTAGCTAGCGTATGGGGCAGCAGCGTAAGGGGAAGCGTATCCGTAGCCGGCGGACCAGGCGTAGGGGGAGGCGGCGACGGCGGCGATAAGAGCCAGAGCGATGATCACCTGAAAATTAAATTTTAAGTTAAGGTAAACGTGTGAAAATCGACTGAGACCCTTAATCATCGTATCTATTGACACCTGTCTGACAAAATTAAAACATTAGAAAATACTGCAAATTCTACTGCTGACAAGGAGTGAAAACTTAAGGGTAAAAATGAGACTGCTGCGCTTACCAAAAGATCATGACGTTACTCAAAATATTTCTCTCTTTTGCCTCTTAATATGAGATACAGAGAGGGAGAAAGCCATATTCGATTGGCGAACGATGGGAAAAGAAACAATCAAAATACTATATACATGTTTCAATCTTGCATTTTTAGAATATACTTTAAGCTTAAAAAATGCTCTTAAAAATTTAAAAATGAACGTTATTCTGTCCTCAAATAAAATTAAACATTTTGAATAGAGTTATGACCTTTTTGCTGAACATGGCAAAATTTATTACAAAATTATTTATTGCAATAATTATATATTATTGCAATTTATTGCAATACACTTTTGTTATTTAGAAAATTATGAAGAGACACTATAGAAAGTTATGATGAAAACTTACTTGCTTGTACATGATGAAAGAGGTTAGGTTTTGTGGTTGTGCGTGTTAAACTAAAGTTCTCAGTACTGCGACTAGAAAGCTTGTGACGAAGGGTAAGTGAAACCGAGTATTTATATTGAGTGAGCCTACCCAAAATCACGGCTGAAAAGAAAAAGGGAAGGGGAAATTGAACTTTTCCTTGACATTTAAAATATTAAGATTGGAAATAGATATTCTATGAGCGAAGGTCATACAAATATAAAAAATCAGCATTTTCAAGTAATTTGCTCGACTTTTTCCCGTGTTGGTTCATATTCAGTCACAGGATTAACAAATACAACATTGGATTCCTATAACATTGTTTCATTTAATATTACGTACAGGGAAAAAAGGAGGTGCCGTTAAGAATTAGTTCTGTAAGATAATAATTATCTTCAATACAGAATGGGTCAAATGCACGCCCAATAGACTCTCATTGTGATCTCTGAACTCAAAGAGAGGCAAATATTATACGGACCACCACAGAGTGGAATGATTTTCCAATGAAGTTAGTTTCTAAAGGACCGCCCATCAAAACTTATCTGTTTTTCCCCATACTTTTATAAATTTGATTATTATCGGATTTGTATTGTTTTTTGAAATTTCCTTTGTAGATAGATTGCTCTTTCTTGATAACGTTCATGAATGGGTAACGGGTGAAAATTCAAACGATAAGCCTTTTGGAAAATGCCTCGACGGTTAGTAAATCATTCCCTTTTTAACTTTATAGTATTCATCTAATTTTTCAATGGAGAGTTTCTCAAATATGTTCCTGGTAAAGTTACTAAAATTTTAGATAGTTCTTTGACTTTTAGAATTTTTAGTGCTGAAATAATAAAATTGTATCCCAAAACTTTCTGGAGAATTTAGAGGCATGATATATTTAAAAAATTGGTACTTTTTGAATGAAAATTTCGACGACTAGTTAATTGCATTCCGACAAATTATCCCTTTACTTCTACCATCCAGCTACCGACCGTCTGGATTTTTACGCAAATTCCTGATGATTTTTTTAATTTTGAGTTTTATTAAAAATTCACACCATAATTTGTTTCGCCTACGATAACGCAGTTCTATTGAAAGATTAAAAATAGTTATCTTAATCTCACGCAGAAGTCCTCCATAGAATCTACAAGTATCAAACACCAATATATATTCTCTTTAAAAATTCACCATCCATGCTAACAAACGAAGATTTGGGACACATACTTACACATCCACTAGCATTGAAAACTTCATGGTAAATATTGATTACAGATACGACCCAGACGTGCCTAAATGTGGGAACTGGGTCACAATGGACTCAGATCTGAATTGCCCAGACGAAATAAATTAATTGAGTGCATGTAAGTCAATTTCTTACTCAGTTCCTGCATCGTTCATAATTCGAGCCAAATAAATTTGCACTGCAATTACAATTTAAACTTCAAGACAGTGAACAGTTTCAAAATCCATTCTTACAGGTATTTTTTTTTTATTATTTTTTTTAAGGAAAAAAATAAACCAACATATTTACATGATATTATCCGTAAGTATATCTGCTTTTTGCTGGTGTGAAAAATGTTCAAATAAATATGAAGTCGGTCTTATTCTTATCTAGGAAAATATGTAATAATAATCGTAAACAGAGAGATATTGCAGATTTCGATGCTAAAATGTGCACATCGTGGTGTTTTTACGACAAAAAAACTTGTCCGAGCAGTGATACGATAATTCATTCAAGCAGTCATGAATGTGTAATAGGATCATTCACTGCGATGCAGATAATTCTTCGAAAAAAAGCCAACTTCCACTGCTGTTAGAGGAAGATGCTAATTCACAGATGCATACTAAGAACACTTCTCTCCCTCTTATGATTGAATTTTGTTCGATGAAGGCGATTTCAATGTTCATTTGATAATTTGTATTTACTTCGTGAAAGAAAATCTAAAATTTAAAATTGTAATTTTGAGAGTATTAAAATTAAATGGTGGGCGATTTCAAAATCATGGCTTTTAGCAAAAAAACACACTTCCACATTTTTGAAACGAGATTTAAGCAGAATCAACCTGACTGCATTTTGCATTGCTCATTCTCTTCTCATGTCTCATTTGGTCAACGGAAAAATAAATAAAATAACAGTTAAAACCTTTCTTTGAATTTCCCTTCTATTTTCAGGAGTAACTTCTCAAAATTTCAATTTACAAACAGATTGTCACTCAAAACTCGGTTTAAGATATACAGCACGAGATGATATATTGGCCGACGTCTGATGTGATTGGGCTGGTTTGGGTTCAAAGCTTATAATTTTAATATTAGAGTGATGCACGTCCTCAGAGAAACAACGAAAGCTTGCAATTTTTAATCATTTTTCAGAGTCAGTGTTTTCAAGCTCTAGAATCTCTCCGTCAGTTTTTGGGCCTTGGCGAGACATTTTTTTTAATCAAAGGGACAAATTTCATTAGGACTACATTTTGCAGTAAGGAATTTCTATCTCTGGCTCATCCTTGAGAGCACTTATCTGAACAGGAAATCTAATGACGCGCACATTTTTATCCAAAATAAGCCAGGAATAGAAGTTATTCATTGAAAAATGCAGTGCATTCAATAAGAAAAGTGAGTTACTAGGAGGCTATGCCCTCTGGCCGCTACACGGCCCAACCCCAGGTGGCGCTCCGCGCTATATTTTAGGCGCGCTTCAACAAAAGAACGACCAAAAATGATTTTTCCACCCGACTCTCTTTTTTTTCTATCTCCCTCTAGCCGGAAGCGATTGGACCAATAAGAATCGAATAAAAAATCAGCATTTATTTCAAACCTCACGTCAAGACTGAAACGAAACGGAACGGAGCCGAGCGTTCGTCGCTTTTGGATAGTCTTTGGCAAAGGAGCATACCTTCGATTCACTTACCTTACCCTATTAACGGACCAAGATTCATCATTTCCCGCTTCGTTCAATTTTCCGCTAAATTTGAAATTCCCGCCATTTTTCATTGGCGGGAATGTCAAATTTTGCCCCCCTCTCTGAGCTCCCCGACAGAGCGCAGGGGAGAATTTAATGAGCCGCCCTGGGCCGCGCCGTCCGCAGCGCGCATGGCGCACGACCCGCCTTTCATTATTACACTTCATCTAGCGTTGAGAGTTCACTAATTACTTCACACGACTGGTGTGCAATTTAAAAAGTCGAAAATTAAAAAAAAAAAAAGTATACGATTTACGAGTTTCTCCGCCAGGGAGCTCTCCCCGCAAGAAATTGTTCATCCGCCCGCCGCCCGGGAGAGCCGCGGCCGCGGCGTGCTGCCAGCGCGAAACGCTCACTGACGCCTACAAACCTAAGGGGCTACTTCACGCATTGCGCAATGTTTGAAGTATCCCTCTAGGTTTGTAGGCGTCAGTGCGCGTTTCGAGATGGCAGCACGCCTCAAGGCCTCAATTCCACAAGGGTGTTAAAATGTAGGCAACTTGACATCAAATTCGAAATTAGCGACGCAAAAACCATCATTTACGAAACTTTCGTGATCTTTCAGTCATTGTCCGACATATTTCTGCCTATTCTCAAGTTTCGGACCATAGTTCGCCGCGCGCAGCGGCGCTCATGAAATTCTCCCCTGTGATCAATTGCGAGCTCCCTGGTCTACCCTTATATAAAGAACCTTGGTCCTATTTCCAAAATCTTATTACAGCGGGCTCATTTATGGACTATCATCTGCCGATAATCGCAGAAATCATGGAAATTGGCCCAGTGGAAGGCTCAAATTAATGAACTTTGACAAAAAATAAGAATTTACATTGTTTAAATGGGAGAGTTCACAAATTTACCACGTCATATACAAAAACCTGGGACATACTTCCAACATCTAAATAAAGCGGGTTCATTATTTAGAGACAATTGACTGTCGATATCCGCAGAAGATAACTCCAGGACTATGCTCTTTGTATCGTCTAGTAAAAATTGAGCTTTTATGAACTTAGGTTCTCTTTCTTTATGGAAAATCTTACCGTCGTTTCCCTCATGAAGGAACGTAACTGCTTCTCAATGTTGCGAAATTTCTCATCGCGAATTGCATGTTCACCAAGGGAGTTTGTGACATTTTTTACTAGAAATTTCATGGAATTTTCTTCGGATCTCGTGCAAATATCAGAAACATTTTCGAAGAAAATTGCAAAAGTATATTCCTATAAAAAAGAGAATTGTTGAAGTCAATTTTGCAACCTTGGAATGAAGTTACGTTCCTACGTCCGGGAGACGACGATATATCGTCGCTCCTCTGACGTAAGGGCGTATCTCGATTTCCACATGAGCCCCAGAAAGCATAGATTAAAGTGTAAAACAGGGCTCACGTTGAAACTGAGATAACGCCCTTACGTCCAGAAAACGACGATATATGCACCAAGTTTAGCTGAAACGTACCAAGTTGCAATAAGTTTGGACCAAGAATAAGTATATCTGAAGATTTATTCCTCATTTTACTCAAGGACGAAGTTTAATGACTTTGTTCGTGTTCAAAATATTTTGTCTCGACTTTGAATTTTTGACAGGTGAAAATTTACGACTCTTTGAATTCAAAACTGCACACAACTTGTTTTTTTCCAAAATGCAACTTCGCAAGATTCTATTAAGCTCAGTTGGACTACATTTTGAAATTAGGAACTATGAATTCTGGGCCGGTTTAAAAACAACGTATGCGCCATTAGTTTCCCTGTGCACATGAGTGTTTTTCAGATGAGCCAGAATTTGTAGTTCCAAATTGCAAAATGCATTCCAGTACATATGTGCATCGTGAGGTTTTAGGACCCAGACAATAAGCAATGAGTTGAAAAAAAACGTATAGGTGCCTCTCAAATTTGTCAGTTCCTGACACAGAATTGCACAACGCTCGTGTGGAATTAAAATCCTGCGTTGTTTTTCTCTGTGCTTTTCTTTTGGAATATTAAGTTGCTCCAAATTTGTGAATAATATACTACCTGATCCTCCATTAAAGCATATTTAGTTATGAATTAATGTGACGGTGAATGCTTAGAACAGGCAGTTAATTGAAGTACATTTGTTCAAAGGCGTTTGAAATTGGCATTCCAAACATTCCTTGAGAGATTTATTATGCAATTAACAATGATTATCAGCGTGTGTCGCAGGATTAAATGCTCCGCTGCGGTGGAAAGGGGTGTGAGATCACTTGTTTTTTTCCAATTCTCTCTCACGGAAACAATTTTTCATTTTGGAAAGTATTGATGTTTCCCTAATATGGACGGAATTATACTAAAAGGAACGATGTGCAGATGAATCAATTCGAAGAAAACGTTGGCCAATGAACTGTACAGAGAATTAAACATACGGTTCTAGGTTACGTAAATCGGATTTGTGTGTGCTTCATAGCTCCTCTTCATTCAATGCATTCGCATAAATTTCTATTTAACTGAAAAGACATTTTTATGTTTAAAAAATAAATAATAAAGCAATTGAATATATCTACTTTAAGAGTTACGGAACAAACTTTTTCGAACATAAAATAGGGTAATCAGACCCTGATCAAGTGTCAGCCATTTACAAAGCAGGCATCAACATACGTTGGAAGTATTGGAAAAAACACGTATCTACTGAAGCCCTTTTAATTATCATAAGGTTCTCAATATTAACCTCGAAAAAATTATGCTTGATGCCGTCAAATTTGTTTGGCTTCAGACATACTTCGTAAATATGTTTCAATACGGCGAAATTTTCATTTGTAATTTGCAATTTTCCTTACAAACCTTTGGAAAATTTCAATGAAAATGTCACTGATTTTCTACAGATTGCTGACAGAATTCAATTAAAGTTAAGACAGAAACAGCTCAGTTATTTTGGCGTCAAAAATGCTCCAGAATATTTTGCAACCTTGAATAGCAATCTGTTTTTAAACTCCAATTTTTTTTAAAAAAAAAATAAATAAATAAAATAAAAAAAAATCTCAGAATTCACTCTCGGGGCTTAAATTTGTCTCCTCTGGAAATGATCAGGAGTTTTGGTTGTGATTCAAAGTCCAATTAGTATTATCAGTATTTTGATGTTCATAACTAAAGATTTCATAATACAGTTGAATTAAGTAACAGCTCATAGGCGAATAAGACTGATACCTGGTAATATTGACTGTTAAAACATTCTTTTCAACGCGATTAAAAAAATATATAATTCACAAGAGAGGAAACTGACAAGTTAATCAGGCTAAGCGTCTTAATGTTGGATACATTTTGAAAAATTAAGTCATTAGATCATTAATACCCTTTCAGCATTATTGTCCACCATCCTGGATCAACATGTCTCCTTTGTCTCTAGTTGTCAATGAGCTGATTCATATGATTTCTTGCACACAGTCTACGTATTTGAATTGGTAGTTTTCACCCAAGAAATGAAAAACTGATAAACCGCCGTTGAAAGATAAATCATTTAGAGTTTTAAAAGTGAAATAAGGTGACCTGGATGTAACTCTCTTAATTTTTAGTTGGTTGCCCAAGTTCATGCATGCTCTAATCTACTACCACTCTTGTATGATGCGATTTATCTCTATAACATCATTTCAAAACTTATTCCATTTTCATATTTTGTTGGTTTTATATTGATGTGAAAAGGACCCTACAACAAAACGGCCAAATCGGCCTAAACACAGAATCGTACGATTTTCTCAGGGATGATAGAGGGTCTTCCCAGACACTCAAAACTGGTCATATTTTTTGCCTAACCCCCAGGGAAAGGGGGGGGAGAGGGGGTCAAAGTCAAAACCTTTAAATTAGCATAACTTCTCAACGGTTTGTTGTAGAAAGATGATCTTGGTGTCAAAATTTCCAGGAAAATAAGAGCTTTTAGAATATATGTATGAAATTAATTAAATTTTAAAATTTGACCCACTTTTGGGGCATTTTACAAGGTCCCCCTTTCGTAAATTTTCGATTTTTGAGATTTTCGGTTGTTCGGTTCACACGGATCAAAACAAAAACGATTTCAAAGGAAAGTAGAGCGTTTAAGCTTTAAAACAAGCCCTAGATAATTTTGGGAAAACGATTAGAAGCGGAGTTATGAGTCTTCAAAGTTGACGCGGCGCGCAGGAACCTTGTATGTTCCGAGTCTCAAGGTCACCTGCGCGCCCCGGATTGCCTGCAGGTTGCAAGTTTTTGTGTTTTTATGCTTCTGTAGGTCATTTTTAATGTAAATCATTCAATGAAGATAGAATAATCGAATTTTTTTAATTTTACGGGAGGAGCGAGAGGGGGCTTAGAGTATCAACCATTATGTCCATCATACCTCAATTAACATTTGCTGACGATGACGATTCTGCTCTTATAATTTAGAAGAAACCATGGACCCTCAGTTCAAATATACATAATGCTCCATACAGAACTGAACCATTTAGAAATTATAACCCATTGATGCCAAATTTTGGGGTACCCCTAATTTTAAAATTTTTTAATTGAGCTATAAGCTACAGCCCTTGACGGAACTCACTTGCTAAAGCCAAATAGTTTCTCGTAGAAGCAGACGAGCTTTGAGCTTCAAGACAAGTCTCAGTTATTCTTGAGGGGGCTATTTGAAACGCAGTTAAAATTTTTTGACGTTAATGTGGTGTACCTCGCCGAGGGCCCATTGTGTAAAATTAAAAAATTTCGATTATTTTATCTTCATTGAATGATTTACATTAAAAATGACCTACAGAAGCATAAAAACACAAAAACTTGCAACCTGCAGGCAATCCGGGGCGCGCAGGTGACCTTGAGACTCGGAACATACAAGGTTCCTGCGCGCCGCGTCAACTTTGAAGACTCATAACTCCGCTTCTAATCGTTTTCCCAAAATTATCTAGGGCTTGTTTTAAAGCTTAAACGCTCTACTTTCCTTTGAAATCGTTTTTGTTTTGATCCGTGTGAACCGAACAACCGAAAATCTCAAAAATCGAAAATTTACGAAAGGGGGACCTTGTAAAATGCCCCAAAAGTGGGTCAAATTTTAAAATTTAATTAATTTCATACATATATTCTAAAAGCTCTTATTTTCCTGGAAATTTTGACACCAAGATCATCTTTCTACAACAAACCGTTGAGAAGTTATGCTAATTTAAAGGTTTTGACTTTGACCCCCTCTCCCCCCCCTTTCCCTGGGGGTTAGGCAAAAAATATGACCAGTTTTGAGTGTCTGGGAAGACCCTCTATCATCCCTGAGAAAATCGTACGATTCTGTGTTTAGGCCGATTTGGCCGTTTTGTTGTAGGGTCCTTTAAACTGACGGATGATGCATCACTGAATTTTTCCATTTAACCATTGTACTGAAGCTGCACGTGTGCATGTAAAAGTGACATTTTTAAACGTAACTTCTCCCAGTTTTTAAACGGAAACGAGCTCAAAAGGTTAACATAAAGATCAAAATGCCTGTCACGTTTGAGTCTGGTATCAACACTCTTGTTAACCAAGGAACGAAAAAGTGAAAATAAAATCAACAAATAATGAAAAAAGATAAATCAGGATACCTTATCTGCGAGATTTCTTTTATTATTTGTTCATTGGACTTTTAAATTTTTGTTTAATGTTTGACAAGAAAGTTTAACCAACCCATAACGTGACAGAAATTTTGAAGTTTAATTTAGCATTTTTATCCGTCTTCTTGCGTTTGATGTTGTTTAATTATTAAGGTAAATTTCATGTATTGTCTGGTCGAGGCTTTAAAGTAAATTTGTAGAGTAATGGACAAATCAAATATTTAACTTTAAAGCCCTTATGTTTTCATTCGAAATTATGCAATTGAACTATAAGTTTTAAATTATGGCAATCTTTGAAAGTAAAAGAAATAGTTTGGAATTGTGAGATTCTTTCGTAGCATCAAAAGTTACATTATTTTTTTACCTTTGCAATATATAACATAGAAAAAAGCGATTCAGAAAGATTTCTGGCCAAATTAATTTTTGACTTATTGTTGCGTTGACCTTTATAAAAAATTATCTCAGTAAAAGCACTGAAAGTTATAGGTTGTATGTTGGGAGTTAAAAATTGAGAACTAAGACGGATTTTGGGTGTGGGAGTTTAACTTGTATTTTACATAAACTACACAGTAGTCTCAGAACTGAAAACTTTACAAAAAATATTACAAATTTGAGGTAAAAACTGGTATGGCATCTGGTACATTAAAAGGAGAATCATGTTTGAGCTATAGATGAGATATCACAGGAACTTTTGGGGAAGAAGTAATCTCTGTGAACAGATAAGAAAAAAATTCCATTAATATTCTGAAGTAAAAAGTGAACGAGGGCACATTAATTTGAAAAAAAACCGGGGTTTCCTCCTAGAAGCAGGTTAATTGACCGATCAGAAGTCTTTTGGCGTAAATTTCTGCAAAGGGATATTCAAAGATATAAAAGGCGATACTAGCGATCTTTTCAGATTAAATTAATCATTTATCAAATACTCAAATAATACGCTGGAGCTCAATTGAAATTTTGCCAATACAGTAAAATGAACGAATCTAAAAAACTGTACAATTTTATCAAATTGCTGAACTTTTCGAATTTATAATATTTTTGTTTAGTTTGTGAGATTATCCTGAAAAAAACGCCAATATGATTTTGCCACCAATAAGCTTTTTCCTTTGAATTAACATGAAAAAACGATTGCTTCCACAGTGAAAGTCACTTGGATCAAACATAAACCTGCAAAGTTTAAGCGATCTCATTCTTGATTAGAGGAAGTCGTCTTAACGGCAAATTCAAGTCACTTCTCTCCAATTTTGAGAATTAGCACTTCACGATTCTAATGCATTATATTCCGACGATATTATTTGCAAATATAAATACATGCTTTCATATCTCATACAAATTTTAGATTTTAGAAAAAATATAAAACATTTCACGACGCAATTAACCAGTTTGGCCGTAGAGTCTTAAGATTTTGAGTAAGCAGTCCCTGTAAATTCTTACCCTGCTATTCTGCCGTGCTAAGGAAAAACGGCGTATGAATCTTCGAGAGTTACCAAATTTTCCTTGATAAAATATGAATTTTTGACGACATTTACGCACATTTTTCTTTGAAATCTTCAGATATTTTAGATTTAATTATGTACAAAATAGTCCGAAAATTTTGGAAAAAATCTGCATAATTTTCTCAGTAAATTCGGTTTTTATCGAAGGAAACTTGGCAACGTCTGAAGGCTCAGAAGGCGTCCTTCCTTAGCATGGCAGTATTAGTCCCTAAATGAAAATGAAATATAGGAAACTTACACTTCTTGTAGTAGGGGTAGGCACCGTATCCGTAGGCAGCGTAGGGGTAGGCTCCGTAAGCACCACGACCGTATCCGTAACCAGCGTATCCGGCGTATCCGGCGTATCCGTAACCAGCGTAGGGGGCGGCGGCGTATCCGTAGCTAGCGTAGGGGGCGGCGGCGTATCCGTAGCTAGCGTAAGGGGCAGCTGCGTATCCGTAGGGGGAGGCGGCGACGGCGGCGATAAGAGCCAGAGCGACGATCAACTGTAAAAAAATATTTCGAATTAAATTCTCATTTAATTTTACATCTCTTGTAGATTCCGTAAGCTCCGTAGAGGTAGGCACCGTATGAGTAGCCGAGGTAGGCTCCGTAGTAACCAGCACGAGCAACGTATCCGTAACTTTAAATTTAATCTCTTTCCAAGCTCTCGCTCTTTTCGATCAAGAGCTCGAAAAGAGATTAAAATTAAAGTATAAAATGTCAAAAAATATCATTAAAACTGACTATAATATCGTCGCCTACCTGACATAAGGGCGTAACTACACTCTGCAATGAACCCTGTCTTCCATACAATCCAATGCTTTTCCGGGCTCATCTCAATGTGTAATTACGCCCTTATGTTAGTTAAGCGACGAAATGTTAGTGTTGCCAGTAAGTCAGTTGCGCTGGTCACAGAAATTTGATTTGGTGCTTACTTCTTGTAGATCAGCTAAAAATAACAAGATCTGTCCAAACAGCAACTTTTTGAAAAGTCGGGTTTTTGACGTCATCCACCGCGGTAGTGACACCCTTGGTTTCTTCCACCTAGCTTTTATCAGTCCGGAAGACACACATTTACACTGGTTACTCAACATAAAACTCGGTTGAAAGCAAGATGGAAGAAACCAAGGGTGTTTACTACCGCAGTGGATGATGTCATAAACCGAATTTTTCAATGCGTGATATCTCGGTTTATATTGAACGTACAAAGTTGCTGTTTGGACGGATCTTATTATTTTTAGCTGATCCACAAAAATCAAGCATCGAAACTGCGACGAAATCGATTCTGTGACCAGCGCAACTGACCATTTATTTCCATTTTTTGTCAATCTCAACTTTTCACTCGTAGTACGTGGAAATATAAGTTCTATCTTCAACTCAAAAATTTAAAGAGCCGCTTGGTTGAGGAGCCTGAATTTTAGGGGCACTACGCTTTGCGAGGCTGAAGCAGTGGTGGGAATTGTGATTTTCCCATGAGATAGCCTCTTAGTGATTTTTTTCTACAGGCTATGCGCATTACGCATAACTTCTCACATAGATGCATGTTACTTTAGCACGAATTTGATTTTATATGCCTTAATTATACCCAATTGTAAAGATTCACTTCAACCATTTTTTCCCTCTTAAAAAAACCTGAACCGTCTGGGGATTTGTTTTTTAATTTTACTTAATGTTACTCATATTTTTGAAGCACTGGAATGAGTGTAGTTACTGCACCGATTACTGCTAGCAGTATAGAAATATTCAGCCTCCTTTGATGATTAAACGTCACAAAAATCGGTGAAACGGGTGGCTTCTATTCGTGGTTCATCATCACTCTTTAACTACATATATATTAATCTATCATTGGCTAATGTAAAAAATGTGTATCTGCATCAAAATGATTCAAAATTTCCGACTGTTCTACTTCTCAAGAGAAGACCAAAGTACGAGCTTCATTGATGGGGTTTTACATGAGTATGTTTCAGAAAAAGTAGAGAATTCATAAACAATTTTTTTAAAAAAACTTTAAGTTAGTTTTCTTTTGAAAAATCTGACGAGCGGACATTTACAACATTGCAATTAAAGTTCGCACTTGCCGACTTCAGCCATCGATATCTGTATGGAGTTCGATGGTCAGTCAAAAAAGACATATCACCACTTGCAACGTTGAAAATTTCCGTTCATATTTTTTAGAGTAAAAATATATCAATATTTTTTCTTGACATTCTAAGAGATTTTTTCAATAAATTTTAAGTAAACAGAAAAAATTACATGCTGATAGTTAGTTTTTTTTATAAAAAATGAACAGTATGTAGAAATTGTAAAACACCGCGATTTCGTCCCGCACTTTTTGACTTTGACGATCGATTTATTAACACATATCAGGAGTGACTGGCTCTTCTATCTCGTTCACTCGGAAATTAAATATCTAATGGGAGAACATTACACACAAATTAGATGGAGAATCAGGTCGGACAAAACTAGACTTACCAGCTTGTACATGGTGAAGGAGGTGAGGGTTTGTGGCTGCGTGAGAAACTAGAAGCTATTAGTTCTGCGACTAAAGAGTTTATGATTAAGGGTAAGTTTGAGCTCGTATTTATATCGCCAGGAGCCCACCCAAAATTGCGCGCGAGCGGGAAAGAGGGGGAAAAACACAGCTTATTATTCCTCATCATAAAGAAAAAAATGAAGATTGGAAATGGATGATATCCGCGCGAAGGTCATACTTCAGCCGAGCCACCGAAGGGGAGGGGCAAGGACGAAGCACCGTAAAACTATCGAGAGGTGGAAAATGAAAAGCTCACGCCGCACCACCTGCCGAAGAACCGCGTATCTGCATGGGTTTATTTAAGTTGATACGCGGTTATTAATGAAAGGGCTGTACGTTGATCGGTCGCGGGAAACCGTTACGTTGCATGAATGAACCTGACCTCATGCGTCAATCTATTATTCGGCGGTCGCATTGGTCAGTGGTGTACTACGAGCAGGTGTCACACAGTGGAACGGGCTAGAGTACCTTTATAGGGAAAGTATGTACGACTCGATTTATGTAGCTCTTAGGGCCCAAAGGGGCGACAACGTGAAAAACAAAAATCACTAGAAAAGTGCCGCTACCAACCTGTGCATTTGAAAGATTGATCAATAGAGCCGACAGCGCATTGTGGTGTAGCGTTTTTAAGAATTAGGACTTTGAAACTGAGAAAATGTATACCAAATCAAAGTTTTATACGATATGTTATAATTTTTGATCAGTGTACCTTCTCTCGGCGTTTAAATTAGTACCACTGGATAATTTGAGTTCATAGGTTGGCTACCTTTTTTGGCCCCAAGAGTTACGTGACCGGATCAAACCTAACCTCCGAAGTTTCGAGTTATCCATACTTTCCCTGTAAAGATACTCTAGAACGAGCTAATAGAAGAGGTCGCACACGGAACCTGCGGCTCAAATTTCAAATTTCGATGCTTATTTCGTCACGAATTTAATTTCAAGGGGTGTTTCTGAGAGATAATTTTATGAAAAAAACCAATGGAACTACTCTCAAACGTTTTTGTCTCATATTTTCGGAGATATTGGCTTTCAAAGTTTCCAAATTTTGTCCGACTCTGCCTATTAATTTGGCCCAGTGTGTGTCAGTTCAGCTTTCCCTCATCACAAATTTAATTTCAAGGGGTGTCTCTGAGAGATAATTTCATGAAAAAACCAATGGAACTACTCTCAAAAGTTTTTGTCTCATATTTTAGGAGATATCAGCTTTCAGAGTTTCCAAATTTTGTCCGAGTCTTCCGATTTATTCGGCCCAGTGTGTGTCAGTTCAACTTTCCCGCGGCCTAGTATTGATGAGTAATTGATCGGCGAACAGTTTGAAGGAATAATAGCGGTAATGGGAGAGGACAGTTTTTTGTGCAGCGCGACCTTCCGATCGGCGGGCATCGTTTTCTTGTGTCGAATTTGATGGGAAAGATTATACGCGATGCTCTCGGTTCAGTTTTGGAGGCTGGGCATGGATCCTGTCTCTGTCTGCTTGAGAACAATAAGTCAAATTAGCTTTTTCACCAGCGTTGTAAAGTCCAAGAAGTAACATTTTACAATTGAGGCATTTTTCGGTAAAAAGGTGTAAGAGGCTTCCGATGCTGCTAAGACTCTGCAACGTAGTTTTCTAGTTGTAAGTAACTTGTATGGCAGTTCTGTTATGATTTTTCCCTGAAACTACTCCGAGTTTTTCCTCACTATTGTAACGAAGTAAGTTGTCTAATGAATGAATTTTATCTGTCACAAATGCTATGAAAAATTGCACGCAATCTTAGCAGCATTGCAAGCGTCATACGCCTTTTTACCGAAAAAAAACCCGTAATTTTCTGAATATTGCGGCTAATACGGGGTTATTTTCAGTGTTTAAAAGGTACAATCGTACACCTGAAATTCAAATTTTAGATCATCTCTTGACCGAATATTAGATGGTCCATGATTTTCTGGTTTTTTTTTGTTTGTTTTTTTGTTGGTTGCGTGCATCAGAAATATTAAAGAGCACCTTTTCAAACATGTTTTTCGGTAATATGGACGTATCTCTGCCAAACAGAACTATGTACATTAAGACATGAACCCAGATACCCATGAAAATATATGCATAACAGGGCTCACGTCACAATGCACATAGTTACGTTTAGCAGAAATACGTCCATATACCTGGTACCATGTTGACGGCAACGAAAAGACTTTAACGCATCGGTGGAAAAACTGCCGAAGACCGGAACCAAGAAAATAGTCGTAGTACGACACAAAATATGAGTTTTACTCATAATGCTTGCAAAAATGGTCATGTTGAAGGATAGTGCATGGTGCCACGTTGACGCTAACAGAGAGATTTTAACGCACGAGTAGAAAAAACGGCGAGGCCCTGAGCCCAGAAAATAGGCATGATCTGTCTCAAAACATGACTGTTTCTAACATCCCTTCTAAAAGCGACTATGTTTGTGAACGAAATGACGGTGTCTTGCTACGATGAGACGTTGTTTAAACTTTCGAAAATAAAAAAAAAATCTCTCTTATTTGATACACCATTCTTACAAAATTTATGAAACCCTTTTCTCCTTCTCCGTCTAAATTTTGAATAATGCCATCCAGACTTATTTCATCTGCAAACTCTTAAATTTTGAAGAATGAAAAGTAATTAGACGGATATAACTAGGATAAGCCTATATACCTGCATATCATATTGACTAAATTTCTCATGAGCATTCGAACTCTGCTTAAATTCATGTCATAAAAAAAGTTACATTTGAGAAAACTAATAATACAGATTTGACCAAAATCAGTCTAACTACATCAGACGTTGCCTGATTTACTTTTATTTGCGAACTTATGATGCTTTGAAACTTTCTGTGACTTATAAATAATGCACTCACAAAATGTCACTGTTCTGTTAAAAAATAAGACATGGAAGAGAATCAGGCAACGTCTGATGTAGTTAGGTCAAATCTGTATTATTAGTTTTCTCAAATGTAACTTTTTTAGGACATGAATTTAAGCAGAGTTCGCATGCTCATGTTACGTTCCCCCGGTGGTGTTTTCAGTAGATTGGCAGCACTTTTTTTCCTCTATTTAAATCCATTAAAAATATCGATTTTATGTGAGCCTTACCGACAATCGATGGTTTTGCATACATTTAAAACGAGGAAAAACAGTGTTGCCAACTTTCAAGAATCGCCACTAATACAATCCATTATGAAAGATCGATTCTTGGTGAGTAGCCGCAACCTGCGCTTCACTTTAAATCGATACATATCGATCATTCTATTTACAGATATAGACGGGCGGAGTCAAATATTATCAATTTTTAAGAATCACCTCTGCCTCCTTGCAGGGCACTAAGCCATCCAACCAGCTAAATATTCAAATTTTGGAGGACTAATTTTATCGAAGCTCACGTCTCTTTTTTTTTTTGTAAGAGCCTGTTAATTCAAAGGCAAAGACAAGACGGAGGTCTCGGAGACATCACCAAATTTTTTGACGTAACTCCCACGAAGTAGCCAAAATTACGATGGGACCCCAGGCATTTTAAGCGCGATACATTGGAAACTATTTTTGCCTAATATTTAGACACGTTGCGTAACATGTCAGTTTTTTCTCTCAGCCAGAAAACAAGCCACTGGATAGACTTATAAATAAAAATCACCAGACGTGAAAAGTACCCTGATGATATTTTGTATCGCATCATATGCAACCGTTCATGGAATTTTTGGCCTTACTTTGTGGATAGCAAAATTTTCAGTAGAGCTATTCATGTCAAATTGTATGAGAACGGTTAACTGCATTTCTGTGTAAAAATTGGGCGTAAAATTGTATTATAATCCGGTCATTTTCCCCTTTGAATACGGCAGAATAACATTTGGAATAACTTTCTCTCGCAACGACGTTTTTTGGACATCGCAGTTGAAACCACCGTAATTCCAGTTTGATGTGACGTCATAGGGAGTTTTCTGACCAGAAATGTTTGTAAAACGCCCTTTTAAACTCTCGTTTTGATAAAATCAGTTTTATCTCATCGAGTATGGTCCCTTATCCCATGGTCGATACAGTTGTACCGGGCAGTTTATTCCCTTTTTGTACTGCCCAAGGTGAGAAATGCCCAAATGATGCTTCTCCATCAAGTAAAAATCAGTTATACTTTGATAACAGTAGACTTTAAGAATGTAGACGTATTACTTGCTAAAAGGTAGAATCTCAAAGTAATCATTGATAAAATATCTTGGCAAATTTCTTAATGAGCAGACGTTTAAATTTAAGATAGCTCGTTTGCGGAGGAGGATAGTCCAGGACTATATTATAATTCACAATTCAGGGAAGTTTAAAAAAATCCATCAAGAGAGCAATTTTACTCAATTTTGGTCAAAAAAATTGAATTTGAGTTTTCAGGGGATTAAGGTCTATCATTTTCTAAAATAGAGATTGTAAGCAGTATCTTTTTTGCGTTAGAATGGGGCGTAAACTCTGTAGATGCATCCATAATTTTAATCCCAAAGCGTAAGGAACTTACTGTTAAGACAGCCAGATTTTCATCCAAACTACATTTTCTCACAAACCTTGAAATGTCATGACTTTGATTCGGTGGGCATGTTCAACATTTTCGGGTGTTTTTGAAGTTTAAATTACGTGAATTCTTCACTTATACATTGGAGTTAATGTGTCATATTTAATTCCTCCGCATTAAGGTCTTTTTTCTGCGAGAAAAAGTATTTTTTATTTTTTAATTCGTGTACTTATTTTTTAAGTTTATTAATTCAGTCTTTTTTCGGATGATGTCAATCCATCTGTAAAAAAGCACATTTTTAAATGAAATTTGCATGAGAGGAAATTCAGACAAATTCACGACAAAGGTAGCATTTCTTTACTAGCCTTTGAAGTATGTTTTCACATAATCCTCTCAGTTGCTCGCCCTTATTCGTTTACGTTAGCTTCAATCAGAATGCGATGAAAGAATACATTTTCTGAGACCTACATCTTTTTATGGTGTTTTTGACTCCATTCCTTCGAAAAAAATCGCACCTTCAATGAAAACAAAGGCTGAAACTGAAGTTGTAGAGTACAAGGTATTAACTTGTCTGCTACGGTGACCTTTGCAAATGACGTGATAATTGTTCAGCC